CTCCTGAGAGGCAAGATGGTCCTGAGAGAGTGGCAGGTGGCGGAGAGACCTGTCTTGACCCCTGCGCTGCCCACCGAACTCAGGGTTATGGCAGCCCCAATCGACTTAGCCCCTGCTGATGGTGTGGCCCACTGCCAGCCTGCCCCAGGAAGAGCCAGGGGCAGGCTTGTGATCCCAAAGAAGGCAAGGCCAGGCTCAGGGGAACCGAAGATGCGAAGTAGAACTCTAACCAGAGACCAGCGGTGCTCTGAATTTTAGGTAAATATTCTGCACATCCTCTCTCCTCACATATAAAAGAGGGAAGCGAAAGGAGTGCTGGAAATCGAGCAAAGCCATCATCTGTTACATCATCTGAGAGGTCCAGAAAGATGGCAGGAGTGTGGACTGACCCCAAACCGGGGGTCCTGGGTAGCAGGCGTGAAAGCTGACTGCAACTGGACACACAGACTCCTCAGCGTGTGTGGGGCGCCCTGTGGCTGGCTGCGGTGATGAACTTTGCGAATACAACAGGAGGCATGCTTTACTTTTCATAGTTCTTTCCCAGAGTTGGGCAAACCATACCAAGAAGCTAACCAACCCCGTGGATCAGCGGAAGACCTGGCTCTGCAAAACGGCCTCCATGTCAGCCGTCCCCAGAGGCCTGTAGGACTGGAATGTAAAGATTTAGACTCTAGACCTGGGTTCACCCCTTCCCAATCTGACACTTTTGGGAAATCAATGGACTCAGCCTCTCCAAGTCTCTTTTCTTCGCACCTGTAAGACAGGCTGCAGTATTCGCGTGGTCAGTAACGCAACGAGCAGGAGCACGACCAGCCTGCCTCACAGGGAGTGCACGGAAACGCTGTGAAATGACACAGGCCAGCCTGCCCAGGAGACGCTAAGCGCTGCACAAATCTGCTCACTCAAGAGAGATCTTCCACCTTGGAACACACAGAAGAACCCACAAGGGAGATGATCAGCCCTGGGGAGGGCCTCCTCAGCCACTCTACAACCCCCGAACCTGCCTGGAGTGAGATGGGAGTTACATCCTAGCTGATCCTACGTGGGGAAAGGAGGCATGCAGCCCTCCGAGGAACAGCAGCTAAGCAGCGAGCCTCTCCTCCATCTCTTCCCCGGCTCTGGCAACCTCGGGAGCTACACTTGCCAACGGAACAGTCAGAAGATGGAGCAGAGCACTGAAGGTCCGCGCTGCATGGATGAGTGAGAACCACTCTGCCCAGCACTGGGGCTTCCGGGGTTGGCCCTGGTTTTGAATAGGAGTGGGGGTCAGTAAGAGGCACGCTGCATCCATTTTAGAGACACACAGAAGCACATGTGAGTCTGTCCGCTCAGGAATTTGCCTTGAGTCAAGAATTCTAGCTAGTCTGCTCAGAGCTTTTACTTTGATTGGAAATCTTCTCCCCAAGTGAGGAGAGGGAAAATCCTTCCAGACAAAAACAAAATTCCCTTTTGCTACAAAATGTATTTATTTCCAGCCACATAAAATTTTCCAGTGTCTTATTTGGTTCTACGTTATAAGGTCTGTTTTTGCTATATGCCCTGTTTACAGGATCCATTTCTAACCATGGAAGTGTACATTTAAACAAACTTCTTTCTGACAACATAAGTTAAATAAACAGCGTGCACATCTTCAGCCGGGAGTCCAGGGTGAGGCGGACGCAGTCAGACTTCATAGGGCAGCCGGCAGCCAACCACCGAAGCTCACCAGCCGCTGAGCCGAGCGGGCCGGCCGCGACCCTTCTGCAAGAAAGAGTTCTGTGCAGACGAGGAAACGTGACACGTGACGTGGAGAGGCATTCCACAGAATGCAAACACTATTCAGGTAAATTAAAAGGCCCAGGCAGAATGGAAGCTTCACAAAGGTAGAGCTACTGTGGCCGGGGCACCTTTTCGCTGGACGCTCAATAAATATCTCTTACGGAAAGTCGGGGTCAGAGGATCTGCTGTGATCATCGTCTGGGTACCAGTGCCTGTTTTCCACACTGGGCTTTGAGTTGGGAGCGTGAAGGTATCAGTTTTTACTTCTTCCGAGTACATATGAGGCGGCACTCATTCTATTTGGAAAGGAACCTTTCATTTCCTTGAGAAGACATTTACACTCTTCATTAGCATTTAGAGTCTGCTCGAAGACTGAGCTGCGGGGCGGACTGTGCTTCACTGGCTTGACCAAGGGCACTGAACGGTCCCCAGAGAGTTCTGATTTCTGTCTCGAAGTAAAAAACCTGTTTCCCTCAGAAGTACAACCTACTTCTTTCTTCACATAGCCTCTCCTTTTGGCTCCTGTTAATATCCCAAGCCCGAAGCAGCCATGGACTCTCACGGAAGAAGCGGCGATGTCTTCACAAAATCTCATTGCTGTGTCAGCTCTTTCCAGTGCCATGGCTTTCTCTGGACTTGAGACGGTCGATCTCTTGCAGTTCCGTCCTTCACAAGGCGGTGAACATCTGCTCCTTGAAGGTAAGACTGTGTTCTAAGGCGGATGCTGGGGAGTCCCCACAAAGAAAATTCCTGGGAAGTCTTTATTCCCTTTCGATCCTCCTACCATCTCTCTTTCCCCATTAGACTAGGGCTGCAATTCAGGAGACACATAGGAAAAGTTTCTAAACTCATCCTGGTTGATCATAGGCAGATGTCCCTCATCGATGGGAGTTAAAACTGGCTCTTCTTTTATGAAGTCAGGATCAAAATTACTGACATCTTCTCGGGATTTCTGCCAAAAAAAAGAAGGAAACAAGGGTCAGACTTGATGCACTTGAAGCTTACTCACCTTGCCTGGGACTCAGCCCATTCCAACGACCTCAGAGAACTGCTGCTGGCTCGGTGGCATTACTTTCAGGTACAATCACTGTGATTAAATACTGCTTTATGGCAATTCCACTGCCTGTGCATTATTAGGGCATTTGGTAACCATCCATTCACTAAGCCCCTGAAAATCCTGCTGAGCAGGCCAGCTTTCCACTGGAAGGCTACGGAATTAATTTGGTCACTCCGACCAGCCGGCTCACTCGCCCTCTACTCTCTATTTCAACGGAGGTCCTGCTTCCCAGCCAAACCCCAAGGGGCCACATGAGTGTGAAGCTGTCAGCCGAGGTTGAGGAAGTGTGTGCTCGCTTTACCTCCGTTGTTTATACACACTGTTACACACTTGAGGAGCTGCTCTCCAAAGACTTCTGGGAAATGCTGAGCTCGGGAAAGCCGCTGGTGGTGTCTCACAGCCTTCTGTCCGGCGGGGCTGGCTGGGCATTCAGGACCGCAGGTGCCAGCCTCTGAAAGCCAAGCTCTCCCTAATCCCACAGGCACTGGTGGGGGCTGGGGGGAGGCCTGTGGCTGGGAAGGGCCTTACCTGTGCTGCCCGCTGTCCAAAGCCTAGCAGACTGTTACAGAATAAGCCTACTCTCTGTCTGAAAAAGTTGCGTATAACTGTATATATTTATGAGCTAATGCTGGTAAGACCATTTCCACCAGGGTTCAACCTCTGGCTTTTCACACCGGACTCAGTAATTTCTCTCTCTGTCTTCAGAAGGCCCTCTTCCCCATGACTCTTGATCTGCCAGCAATATGGCTCTCCTGACCCACTAACGAACTCAGCTCAGCTCCCAGAGCAGCAGCTGGCCCACCCTAGAGGTGCTGCCCTTTTGGTATACAGCTTGGAGAGGCAGCCCAGATGCTCTCAGGATTGTACCAAAGGGGCTTGGCCTGCACTGGCCGGAACCTGGCCTCGTAGGTTTTATTATACATGGGCTCTCTAAGCCAGGAGCCAGGCTTGGTGAAAGATCTCACACCCTCTCTGCTTGCCTAGGGGCTGGGGACAGGCACATATGGTCCCTGGCGCAGGAACAGGAAGAAATTGGCTAGGAACAATGACTTAGCCAAACTCTTGGGAAAATCTGAAACACTTCAGGCATCTAGACCCGAGGAGATTTTAAATTAGTTGGAAGGGGGATGGAACTACGGCAAGCCAGAGGTGACGATTTTGTGAGAAGGAACCTGGTGCAGGAGAGACGCTACCTTGTGAATGAAGAGCCTGACCTTCTCCCAGGGGAGGCTGCCCTGGAAAGCATGTCAGGGCAACTTCTGGTCTGTCATTCCATAGGAGACATCCCCTTACTTCCCCCAAGGGGCTGGATCATCTCAGGAAGAGGAAGTCTACTGCAATGGTCTTGACACTTACAATTCTGGGTCGGAAAGGTGGTTCTAGCTGGCGACTGTTCAGTTGGGCCCAGTCAATTTCCTTAAAGAAAGGATGTCTCAAGATGGCATGCTCGCCTCCCTGTGTCGGGCTGCCCAGGCGCATGGTGGGATTCTTGGTCATGAACTGGAGAGAGAAACAGAGAAAGAGAGACTCGATCATTCCTTCACATATAATAGCTAGGTCACAAGACAGCAAGCGTTAGCCCTGCTTTCCGGGTGATCTTGCCTAACTAGCTGGATTTTCCATCATGGGCAGCACAACCAGTATGAATCATGCCTTAGAGGCGCAACTGCCTGCGTGGATTTATGGCTTTCCCACTTCCACTGCAGACATGGCCACTCAGTGAAGGCTGAAGGGTCCAGGTTTCATTCCTGTAAACACCATGTATTTTTTTTTCCCCTCTTTAAAGAAGCTCTTTATAAAATAGTGTGTCTTCTCCAATACTGCCGCTGTGGGCAGCAGGCATCTTATGAATGGAGCTACTTTTAGGAACAGCTGTGCCATTTTTCAGACAGACCTGCCCAACTGGCCCAGATTCTTGCTCTCTGCCCGAACCACAGAAGGAGGAGTGAGAATCATTATTTCTGGAGATCTGTATGAAGCAGCAGCAAGGGTGAATGCTTAAGTCCATCTCCTGCAAACAGAGCGTGGGCCACTTCATGCAGAAAAGACACATCATTCTAGAGGAAAGGTTTTTCTTTAAGGCCTCTCTTCCTTCAATTTTGAAATGGGTTTCCTGTCTGAGATGTTACTGCTGCACAGACCAAAAACTAAGTAAGTGACGCCATGCATGTGAGCAATGCTTGTATATAAATCCTCTGTCCTTCCATCACTTAGGAAGCCTCCTTGGTGCTCAGCTGCTATCCACATATTTGGGCTAAGTGCACTTTTGCAAAATGAACTCACAGGGTGGTTTTCTATTTAAAAAACAGCCGGGCGTGGCTGCGCATGCCTGTAATCCCAGCACTTGGGAGGCTGAGGCAGGAGGATCCTTGTGAGTTTGAGACCAACCTAAGCTACAAAGTGAGCTCAAGGTCAGCCTCAACTGCACAGTGAGACCCTGTCTCAAAAAAAAAAAAAAAAAAAAAAACCCCCAAAAAAAAAAAAAAAAAACCCTGCAAAAAAATAAATAAAAATAAAAAACAACACAACTAACTTAATTTCCCATTTCCCTCCCAAAAAGTTGCCTTTGATGAAAAAGGGCTTTTTTAATTTAAATGACGTTATCTTTAAATAGATTTATGACAACTTATGGTAACCCCTGAGCACCCCTTTCTAAGTCTGATTTGTGAACAAAGATAGAAGATAGAAGTAATGCTGTGTTTATAGAAACTGCGTTGGAGCTGAATTTGGAGTAGGTAAAAAGAGAATCTCACTGGTGCAGAGCTGGGAAGGTGGTATTTGGAGGCGGCCACCCTGTCAGCCCAGACGGCCATGCTGTGCAGCCTCTGGTGTTACGTTGTCCTGATGAACACAATAACACAGAGGGAAAGGCTGCAAGGCTTTCTGCAAAAAGCAGCAAAAAGGGAACTAATAAAAAATGAAGACACTGATGAGGTGTAGTGGCTCCCCCTCTTTCCAAATGACAAGGAATTAACCCCTGCCAGTCCAACCACTCAAATACAGGATGGCCAAAAGCTGCGTATTTTTTCATGAATTTTTATAATAGGAAATATAAAAATGACAATTTTATCATTTATTCAATATAAAAACTGGCTGACATGACAGCAGCCCCAATCGGGGGTAGACAGTCCTTAAATGCACTGCCTGAGTGCTCCAGGTAAACTGGTAAGTGCGTAAAGGATGAGGAGCTACCGGACTGGAGGTAGGACCCAAATAAAATAAGCATTCAGAGTTACACAGGTCCAGTCACAGCAGTTTCCATTCCAGGCACCTACAGTCAACAATGTGGAGTCAGAAAAGTCCATGTTTTATAAGTTACTCCATTGTCCAAGAGCTGGAAGTTCATACAGTTTGAGATCTCCTTGGATAAACTTTCTTCTCCAGGACGACAGCAGGGGAAAAACGTTTACAACAAACAAAACAAAAATGAGGAGACTGTCTCCCTGGGAAGGTCATGGGATATAATCCCTGATAGACAAGCAGTTGCTATTCTAAGAGCTAATTAACAAATAACAATGCTGCAAAAAAGCTGAAGAGACAAGGATGACAGGATAGACGCAGGTGCTTGTGGGAAATTCCAAGGCCTGCCAATGAGGTGGGCAGAGGACATCTCGTGAATGTGCGGGAACAGCTTGTTTAGCTGGGCAAGAGGGGCCCTGCAGGACCATATGCCAGGGTGGCAGAAGCACTGGCGACTGGGAGACTTTGCCCACTCTTCCCTCCCCCCACTGCGGGAAGGGCACTGCCTGAGGACAATCAGACCAAACCATGGAGGCTCCTCTTCAGAAAGCCACATCCCCGGGCCTGGGGACAGGCAGAATAACCCTTTCACTAGGGTGGTACTTTCTCTTGAGAGTCTGTAAGTCCTTCTGAATAACCAGTTTTGTTTTGGTTTGGTTTTTAGTATCCTGGCTTGAGCTGCTTAGGTGTAGATATCCTCCACTTTAGAAAAAACCTTTCACTCCGTTTACAAAAGTTTGCAGTGTATCTGTCGAATGCAAGGTAGTCCACTGGGCCTTGGGGTGTCTGCGGATGAGAAAGACAGTGTCTCTCCATTGACAGAAGGGAGAAAAGGCGGGTGAACTCTGTATACACAGAAGGACGAAAGGAAGAGAGACTTAAAGAATGCTGTGGAAGGGCCTTAGAACAGCTCCCGGAAAGAGCACTGCGCCTTGATCTCAAAGGAGAGGTGGTGCCTGACAAGAGGTGAGGATGAGGAAGACAACTGCATCCCGGCACACAGCCAGCACAAGCTCCCAGATGCGCTCCAGCACGTGTGTGACTGAGCTGGGGGACGGCTGGCCCTCAGGGTGGCTGCAGAACTCTACAGGCAGCCAGCTGGGCTCATGAGAAGGGTACGAAGTGGTGAGTGACCAGAGCAACCCTCTGATGTGGGAGGTGAGTCTGGCTATGGGGTCATGCATAACCCCACAAGGAGAGGCAAGGACTGGCGGCAGATGAATATGCAGTCTGAGATGACAGCTGAGAAGCCAGGCAGGTCAGCAACTCAGGGAGCTTCTAGCTAACGGGGAGAGAGTGCTGGAAGCAAGTGCTTAGAAGGCTGTGAAAGGGGAAGGAGCACCATCCATCTGGGGCCGGCTGGGGTCAGGGGCCACAGTCTAAGATGGCAGCATCCTCCCTGCCAGTCTGAGGGACAGGTGGACTCAGTAAAGAAGCAAAGGACAGAACGGCACTGATGGCTTATTATTTGCACCATTTTGTAGCATTTGTTCCCTCAGGGAACAGTGAGAGAACAACAAATCCTTCCGGGGACTGTAAAAGTCTCCTGAATCAAAACGGAATCACTTCAAACCCTAACCGAAACACGAAGCCTGGAGGACATGAAGGATGAGCTCCCGAACTGGGCAAGGAGAAGCCGTCTTCAAGAATGTTTGCCCCAATAGCTCTGGCTCATCCTTGGACTAATTTGGCCTTTGTTACTGATCCTGCCGGCGAGAGCTATCATTTCAGAGAACGCCCGTAATCCTCCTCACCTGGTTTTAAAAACAGCCCCTTGCCTCACCCTTTGAACACGCTCCTGATGATGGCGGCTCTGGTTTTCCCACTGCAGGGTCAATTTCTGAAGAAGGCTGTTCATCTTTGGGGAATCTGCTTGTTTTTTAGGTGACTAAAGATCTGAGTCTTGCCAAATCTGGGAGGCTGACAAGCTCAGCTGGGCCCGTGAGGTGTGCAGCCCCTCGCGGTGATGAGTAGCCCGACAAACCTGGGTGCAGGAGGGAGTTAGCCAGCCACCTCTCAGACCAGCTCTCTCAGAGCAGAGCGGGAGCTGGGAGCCAGGCAAGATCACCGGTGTGTGTGCAGAGGGAGGAGGGAGAGAATGAGGATGTCAGTGAAAGATCTGAGTCCTGGGGCTGGGGATTAGCTCAGGGGCACAGCGCCTGCCTGGCAAGCACAAGGTCGTGAATTCAATTCCCGGTACCGGGAAACGCACCCCCGCCCCCCCCAAAAGAAAAGATCTGAGACCAGCCCCAGCCCTCAGACACATTTTATTTAGTCCAAAAGTATGTTTTAAAAGTGTTTTAATTACTTGCCGAACATTTAAAACTAGGAAATGTCACAACACCCTGAAGTCAGGTTTTCCAACCTCCCTTGGAAAATGTGATAGTCTAGAACATTCAGCCTGAACTACTTCATCCTAAACAATGACCTGGAGTTGGGCAGCAGCTGCCTTCTGGGGACACAGATCCCCCGCCGGCCACTTGTGCTGCTCCCGTCTGTTGCCTCACACCTAGATGGCTTCCCTCCCTTGTTTCCGTGGCTCCTGGCCGCTGGCGCAGAGGGGGAAGGAACTCAGGGTGGCAGCTGGACAAGCTCAGGGAGAAGCCAGAGGAGGGCGGGTACGTGAGACAGAAACAGGGATGACGCATTCTGAGGGGCAAGAGGGGTGACGGCGGCGAGGGGAGAGAGGCTCCCTGGGCGTGGCCCGCAGCACCTCCACGCCACAACTTTCCAAAGACACAGCCACGGGAGCTAAGGAAACAGTTCAGCCTGGCATCGGTCACACACACTGGTGCGGGTGTGGACAGCCGGCAGCTGGGCGGCGTCTTGCCACCTTCCGGTGGGCACAGGATTCTCTATACACACCACAGTCTTTCTGCTGTGCACGGTGACAGCAAAATGCTTTTGCAGAAAACTTGCTCTATTCGCTTATGTCCCCAATGGGACCCAGATGTCAAACACATCAATAATGCTGGTTAGAGCAATCACTCTCGTCCATGTCTAAGTTCACACTTAAAACCCACCTCACCCCAACTGACCTCCTCCCTGATTGGGGCCGAAACAGGAAAGCTGGCGCAAAATGAAAATAATGTGACTTCATGAGTGATGCGAACACATGTACTAAAGGCAGCAGAATGTTTTCTAGAGCCCACAAAAGCACTTTCTAAGCTACAGGGAGTGACTGAGAGCCCAGCAGGGAGAGGTCTGGTTCCACCTTGAGTGGAAGTCTCACCCCAGGCAGCAGAAGGGCACTCAAGGGC